ACGAATCATATTTGTATAAGAAATCCCTCCATTTGGGGCTAGTTGAACTTTTTAATTTTTCATATATCTATTCAGGAGTATACCATATTTCATTTGAAATGGACTTTGAAAGTCATGGGGGTTTTTATTTTATTATTCAGCATGACATTATTACCATCCTAACAGATTTCAGTGTGTGAAATTACTTTACTTTTACAAATTATGTTCTATACTAAAATAATGTTTGCACATAATATTATGCTATATTTCCCTTAAAATACCATTCATTCTATACTTTCTAAGACTGGTGCTTCTGCTTTTGAAGGGGAAAATGCCAATTTTTACTGTAATAAGTAATGTATCATAATTAAAAATTATTTATTTGGACATTTGTTTCTGACAGTTGTGGTTTAATTATTGACTTGTAGTTTCTGAAGGCAGGCAGTGAGTATTTAGGGTAGTTTAAGTGACAAAATCCAGTAATGGTACCTATTTATTGAGCAATTTTCCAGTGATAACAGCATCTCAAGAGTGGTCAAGGCTCCATTCTTAGGCTTTTTACTCGTTAAGTTTCCATGTAATTTAAATAGGAAAGAACCACACCCTGACAACGTAATTTAAATTATATAAATGTAAGAAATGTGGTTAACATATTTTACTTTGCATATTTGTAGTTCTTTATAGTTTACAAAGTACATTTTCATTTATTATTTCATTTAATCCTCAGAGCGGCCCCAATTAATCATTAAATATGGCTTTAGTTTTATAAATGAGAGAAATAAAGCCAAGGCAGGGTAAATAATGTGTCCAATTCTACACAACTAATAGGAGACAGTTAAAACTTAAATTCAGGTTCTCTGATCCTGAACTAGTATTCCTTTTCAATAGGCCACAGCTACCATATTGTTTTGGACACACTGAGGTCTTTCAGAGGTCAGTAGAATCCTGGGCAACTACGTATATTTTAAAAAATGAAGGAATGCCAATAAAATAGAGTTATAAAAACTATGCTGTACTTTAAATGTTTGTTTTAAGACTACAATATAGTTACCTGTGTAAAATTCTATTTAAAAAATAATGTCAAGAGTCTAGATGTGAGGTCTTCTGTAAAGTCAAAACCTAAATCAAATGTCTCTCCTGCTACCCTCACTGCCAGCTCTAGGCCCCACTACATAGGAGAGGCACTGAGGGACATTTTACACTAAGCATGTGGAATAAAGGATGAAAATCATGATAACATAAGGAAAATGAACTAGACTATGAGAAAACCATTCAATGTACTTCTCAACAATAACTTGGCAATCCTTTTTTAACACCTACATCACCTGGTCTTCCTAGGTGGTCTCCCATCCAAGTATTAACCAGGCCCGACCCTGCTTAGCTTCCAAGATCAGATGAGATCAGGTATGTTCAGGGTGGCATGGCTGTAGACTAACTTGGAAATCTTTAACTCTGTCTCATATGATCAATAATTAATTGACTGAAATGGTACTTCTGAACCTTGACTAACTCAAGAAAATAAACTTTTAATTTGTAATTTCAACAGAAATCAGAAAACAAAGATACCCAAAGACTTTTTCATTACTCCCCCAAGTAGATGTTACTTACTCTTTTCCATCACTGTGGGAGGTAAAACACTTTTAGTAGTGGCCAAACCAGAAAATTTTAATTCCTACCAATATTGGACTTCTAGAACAAATTCAATTCTGTTGGAAAGTTAGAACATGAAAAGCTTGGGAAACCTTGACCCTCTTTAAAGATTTTTTGGTTAGTAATGAGGGATTCACTTACTGGGATGGAGGTGAAAGGGGCGATCACAATGTCTTAGGAGGAAGGATGACCAGTAAGACTTCCATAGTCAGATCAGCTCTATTGGTTCTAGCATTAGTTTTTCAAGGAACTGATTAGCAATGTTTTTTTGTTTGTTTTTCTGTTGAAAGCCTTAGCTATATATTTGTATATAAATGTTGTATCTTTGCACCACGTTAAACCTGGTCTGAATGCAGGAGTTAAAAATCCCTCAGAAACCCGGATTTAAGCCCAGATCAGAGTAAAGTCGCCTTTAATATTTAAATATTGTGGACTCAAGATTGTGCAATGAATGATCCTGTGATCATTCATTCAAGACATTCAGAAGAATAAAAACATACACGTGCAGAAGGCAAAAAGCCAGCAGAAAACCCTTAACCATGATGCTGTTCCTGAGAATAATAGAAAACACATTGAAGAAAATATCGATTTGTAAATGTGTACATACATAGTCTAGTAAAAGCAGGCAAACATATCTTTCTGATAAAGACATCTTTTTATTCTACTTACTTGGGGCCCAGGTCAGTATAAATTAGGCAGCCTGAAAATTTCAGTCTGTTTGCAAGGCAGAAATTCTGCACATGTTTTATTTGATTCCTAAGATTATTTAAAAGTCTCTTTTATGTTAAAAGAGAGGTGAACCTTCCTTGACAAACTTTGCCTCTTCCACTTCCATCTGGGCCTCTCTTTTCTCAGGATTTATCCCAGCCAAATATCTCGGTTACCTTTACCAGACAGTTTCCTCTGTGAAAGAGCAGTAGGGGAGGGAATGACTCTCTGCTGTGTATTGTATTTTTCAAATAAAATTTTAAAAAATTAAATTTAAAAAATTAAGTTTATTTTTCTTCCCCCCATGTATCAGTCCTTTCTAGGGGATAGAGGAATGATGAATGCTTGTCAAGGTGATGAAAGTCAGATTATCAGAGTGACTGGAGAATGTGTGGGAAGGGATCACAATGCTTCAGGTTAGACTAGTTCTTCAGGCACCTAAGTGACCTCATGCATCCCGTTGCTCATCCTGGGATCTCGTCAACTTCCTCTCTGACAAATCACACCCCCTGCAAACTACCTGGGACATCGAGCAGGTTACATCATCTGCCTCCTATGTATGAGCAAGGGGTTAAGAAAAGACATAAATGATCCTGTTCCTGCCTCTAGGGTACCCTTTATTAACTTTGTCTTACATGCTCTAAAAAGATGCCCTGGACACACATCAAATGGTCCTAATTATGCCTTAAAAACATGGATCTTCTCACAATTTGCCAGGCCTGGGCTTCCTAATGAATTTTGTGAGTTATGATATTTTTAAAAATATCAGTTAAGGAAATTTCTTTCAGAGAGTAATTGAATGATTCTCTTCTAAGCAGAAAAAAATAAGAGCATTTAAATTCTTCTTCCCTGTCCCCCTCACTGTAGATTATAACTGGTTCCTAGTCTGATAGAGCCTTAGGACGTGGTCGAGATTTAATTAAAAAAAAAAAAAATAAGCCTGCTGTTCCCACCCAAGATTTGTGAGCCATGGATGGAGTATAGGGTTTAAATTCAAAATTCAGACTGCTATTTTTAAATCTGTGGTCCTTCTATGAAAAAACACAGGTGAGTGGATACACAACCACCTCCAACATTCAGACGAAAACTCAGAAGTTCACATCTCAAGGACACCATTCATAACAAGGGTGACACGCCCCCCTCTGGCCTGTTTACCTTCACATTATTGTATTTATAAATGTGTTTCTATTTTCATTGTGTACTGAAATGCTATCACTTCTAGAAAAGGGGAAACATTTTTTCTCTCCAGAAGGAGAAAAAAATTGATATTAAAAAGAAGAAAAACTTTTCCAAAATTTCGAGACATTTTGAGTATTAATCAGGTTTTCCTAGAGGTATCTCTCCTGTTCAGCAAGGCCTCCCAGCCCTCATTTGTTTAGCAAATATTTGGCCAGTTATTCTGTATCCCAGAAATGCGGCAACAAGCTGACTAAACAGTGATTAGAAAGATGGACATGGACCCTACCCTTCCAGATTGGACAGTTCAGCAGCCCTGACATTGACGGTGCCCTAACAGGTCTATTTAAAGTTAAGGTGAGAGAATTGGCTTGGTATTTACCAGCTACCTGCTCTCGGGACTGAGCAAAGGACATTTTTATAGATTACAGCAACAGCTAAGCATAATAAAAAAGCGTTGCTTCCATAAACAACATTGCATAATTTGACTATTGTTGAATTTAAAAAACCTTAAATGCTGTAATAATAATCATTCACTATCTTTCAGAAGCCTATGGTTCAGATGAGCCATTTTTCTAGTCTGAGGTGGGCTCATTCATGCATTTGTGATGAGGTTGGCAACTCTGCTGATCTTTACTGGATGTTCTCACATATATGGAGGTCATCTGGCTGTAGGCTAGTCTAGGATGGGATAGCTGGACTTTTCTCTGCATGGTCTCTTAACCTCCATCAGGCTTGCTAAACTCCTTCACATAAGGGACCAAGACAGAGCAGAAGCACTGGCACTAAAGCACTGGCAGGCACATTGCACTTCCATCTCATTTAGTTGCCTAAGGCAAGTTCCAAGGGCAGCCCAGCTTCAGGAATGAGGGAGAGCGGCGAAGTCACATTGCAAAGGGGTGAACGCAAAGGCGGGTGGAGAACAAGGGCTACTCGTGCATTCAGTCTACTGCAAACTTTTCCTGCAGCTAAACCTTAAAAATTTTCAAGTGCCTTCCCGAATCGAGTTCCTCAATTTGTAGAGTACAGACTTATACTGATGAGCATGAGAAACCCACAAATGACATCAGAGAGCAAGCTCATTGTATCTAAGCAAGGATGGCCAATCACCAACTATACCCCCAAAATGCCTTTGAGATAAAGCTAGCTAAAGAACTGTCTATTTAGTATTTAACTGAGAGCAATGGGGAGCTTGCTGAAGCTTTCCTAGGTTTTCTCAGAAAGCCTTCCTAGGTCCTCTACTGGCAATAATAAAAGAAGAGG